CTTTTCAGCAGCTGTAGTTTCAGATCTTAATATGGTACAGATATCTTGCTAGTAGTAGCAACAGCTCTATAAGGTGGATCTTCCCCTCATAAAATCTTTGACCACTGCTTGATTTAACCCATTTTCGTATAGGAGATTCCCATTGTGGACGGATAGTTTTACATCTGTTATGTCCCCGATTTGCTATAGTGTATACTGACTAAAGTTTTTTCCTTGTATATACATTTTTCTCTTTATCATAAACTACACTACCTTCAAAATTAATATCACATGCATTACCATTTTCAAGATGTTTTGCTAGCTCAGAAGTCTCAGAATCTCTTAGACTTATTTTGTTTTGATGTTGCACTATGCGATATTTAACCGATATAGTTTCTCTGTAAAACTATCCGTCCACAATGGGAATCTCCTATAGGAAAATGGGTTAAACCAGGCAGTGGTCAAAGATTTCATGAGGGGAAGATGAAAAAATTAACAAGAGTTAATTAGAGTTGTTGCTAATACTAGTGTTAGAGCTAGAACCATCTATGAAAATAGATTAGAGAATAAACTTTATTCGGTAAGGAAACAAAGCAGAAAAAGATACAACTGATTCATTGATGAGATTTTCTAGATTAGAGATTCTTTATAACTTTTAATTGTTACACTTTTCGTTTTCATATTTTCACTCGATTATGTCTACATTATTTTATCTCATTTATTTTAATCGTTGGTGGTTTGTTGTACTCTCCCTGATATGGTCGTTATCTTCCTGTCTTTTACCACCAGTTCGATTTGTTTTGTTACTTTTTATTATAGTGTCACTCTAAATCTGTAATGATCAGTATGTTCAGGCATGTATCGGTTGAAAGCTGGTTCTTTTATTCTCTTTTCGCAAAAACTAAATTGTAGGATGAGTATGGCATATTAAATTTTTCCCACAAATGAGTTGTAAACATTTTCCTACAAAATGAACTATGCGTGCAATCTTCATGTTGATCCAGCACTTGTAAAAGGAGATATTAAATAAAAGCCGCATTTATCGGCTGCTGTTACATAGCCGAAATCGATAAATGGGACTAGAAAGGCGATTGCAAGGAGATGAGAAAAGGTTCTCCATAGCTCATTTTATAGAGAAATGTTTGCTCTACAAAATTCAGTTGTGAGAGAAATTTAATATGCGATACTCTTGATGCAATCTATGAGGAAGAAAAGCTAAAAATATCGGTTTTTAACCGGTGCATGCCTAAATATATAAATGTCAATCGTTATTATCTATATACGCATATTTCAAGGTCTTTCATTTCCCATGGAAATGTGCCGTTGGTTGTCCATGGGAATGAAGTGCGAAATCGAAAAGCAGATGATTTGTGTATAATACCAGTTCACAAAAGACTCGGCTGCTTCGCGGGTTATTGGGATCCGAATTTCGGCGTACTGGTCTTCATCAATTAAGGAGTCATGTTGGTTTAACTCTTTAGTATATTTTTCTGTTTATCTCGTGGAAATGTTGAGAGAGTAGAAGGAAGAATCATTCTAGACGGCGAGAGCGACCTAATAGTGATAAGAAAGGTTAACGCAGAACGGCTGAGATTAATGGATACTGCGAGAGGATTTAGGCGAAACCACTTGACAAAGAAGAAGTGAATGTTCTTCACAACACACATTTAGAAAAGATCATGATGCGCTTTTTTGATTATTTGGTGTTTATCTTTCAGATACATAAAGTATTATAAGCTTTTTTCTCTTTTCTACGTTACTTGTAATAAGTTGAAAACAAAAGAACGCCGATGAAGCCATCTGAAAAATACAGAAATATATTACAAGAAAATATCAAAGCCGGTGCAGAAATTAAGTTTGATTTACAATGGATATTGAATCAGAATGAAATTTCCATTTTTAATGGTTATAAACGAGTTGGTGCCAACAAAGATATTCTTTTCTATGGAATGTTACCTTTATTATCACGTTTTGCTCAAGCATCGATATATGCATCAATGTTTGAAGAATCAAAACCATTAAATTTGTATAGTATTACGATTGGACCACCAGGTATAATGTGTAATATCCTTTTGTTGTTCATCATTTTCTTTGGGCATTCAGCTAGCTATAATGCGTGTTGAAATATAAATTAGAATAAAGAAGACAAAAATGATATATGTGAGTGAATTGCAACTTTTTGGTACAACTGACCCGAAAAAAAGAAAGTGAACCTAAACAACTTTTGAGTACTGCATTTTAGTATGCTCTATGCCTGTAGTACACAACAAAATTTTCCTGACACTTCATCAATTATTAAGGGAGCTATACGCTGTAGAAATGTACAATTTTTTATCGGCTGTAGAAGTCAAGACACTCTGATATTTTTTGAATAACTTTCGATAGGAACATGACAGAGACCTGCGGTTTTCAGCGTTTGATAGCCAAGATCCAGGAGCATATTTTCATAAGCAAAACTTTTCGAAAAAAATCCGAAAAATCGGTTTTCCAAATGATTTCTGGGAAATCACGCTAGATTTTTAGAGATCGTTTGTAAAACCAATTTTTCGGATTTTTTTGGAAAAGTTTTGCTTATGAAAATATGCTCCTGGGTCTTGGCTATCAAACACTGAAAACCGCAGTCTCTATCATGTTCTTATCGAAAGTTATTCAAAAAATACTAGACTACCTTGACTTCTGGAGCCGGTAACGGTGTTATTTGCTACTAATTAGGGCTTTAAGTAGATTTGCATGCATTTTAGTAGGAATAGGCTTCGAAAGCAACCTATAAATTATATTTTGAACGTTGATTTAAATTCGGGACACATTTTTATCTTTTACTATGCCTTCATACTAAATCGTTAGATGGCTTTACCCATTGAAAAGAATTAGATCGTTTTTTCCCAACTCTGTATATAGGATATGAAGTCGAGAAAAGACCACAATATACTCGGATTTATTTGTCGCATCTTGTTCATTTATATTATACTCGAAAAGAATATTTTTGAATGAACTCGACTAGAATATCTGCAGAAAATCGTCACTCTACATTTTTTTCTAAAAAAACGTCACTACATTTTCCAGTATATTGTAAATTTCTTCCGAAGGATACAAGATCAAAGGCTCAAATTTTTACCACTAATAGAACTTTGTGTTTTATACTGGCTGTTAAAATTTGAGCTAAATCCGACAACTTGTCGAAGAGTTATAACTCAGACAATTTTCAAATCGTCACTCTACAAAGTGAGTAAAATTTCCTTTTATCAGAAAGTTCTGTTATTTTTTTTCGGAAATAAACCTGATAAGAGAGAACCTTTTCCCATCAGTTTCTTAGTTAAAGAGTTCTCTTTCTTTTCATCCAGTCTGTACACTACCAGCTCTATCACAGCCTGAGCTAGAATCATGTTTTCGTCTCTCTACACAAAAATGTACAAGTGTCTGTCAAACAATATGAATGATGAACGGGGGAACCAATGAGAATTATAACTAAAATCAGTTATATATTTCGATAGAGCATCGAAAGCTGTACAAAATAGATTAATTATCTATTATCCCTCTTGCCATTTTATAGTCGAAAAATTGCCTTTTCTTAGCACACATCATGAAAAAATGATGTTTTTTCGTAATCAATTTCTTATAACTCAGGGACAGTATGAGCGAATGAGCTGAAATTTTGTATCGCAGTGGGGTGCTCAAAGGCGTATAACATATAAAAAAGTCGTTTAAATTGCTCGAGGCAAACAGAAGTTATTAGCTAAATACAGCTATAACTTCAATTGTACCAAAAAGTTGCAATTCACTCATGTATATCTTTTAGTCTTATCGGATGAGAGGTTTTAATTGGCATGCAAAAAAATTAGTTTTTAATTCCTTGGTAGCCACTATCACTTAAAAGTTGTCCGATTGAGCTTAATTGTAATTTCGAAATACTTTTATTCTATTTACTTTATTATACAGGCAGTGGAAAATCACCAAATTTGAAACATTTAATGACAGCAGCCACAAAAGTCACAAAAATCTTTAAGCATGATTATATGAAAAATATTCCTCGTGATGCAGGTCATATACAGCTACAAAATACTGTAACACATAGTCCAAATGGATTGGCTTTGCTGGAATTACTAGCTGTGGGTGATGTATGTATAGTGAATGATGAAATCGACAATATATTTGTTAAGTGGGGTATTTACAACGAGGAATTGACGGAAGAAGTTTCGATATTACGTTCATTATTCGATGGTACTGATGGATTATTCCAATCAACATCACTTAGAAGAATTGAAACAAATGAAGCTAGGTTATCGATTTTAGGCGGTACAACAGGCACACATTTAGCTAATGTTTTGAAAAGTTGGTCGAATGGGGACAGTCAAGATAGTTTGTTTAGCCGTATGATGTTTTTGCCAGTCTGGTATAAAGCAACTCGTCTAAATGAGTTGAAATTTAATTCAGCTCATGCTGGTATACCGTCGTTTATTCATGTTTTTCTTGTTTGTCATTTATTCGGATCAGTAGAATATCGCTTCGATACCATTGGTAAGTTACTCGAATATTTGCAAGGTTTGTCTATTGTTGTTGTTTTACTCCAGATGAATCTCACATATCAACAACAGCGGGCACAAGAGCGGGTGAAAGCGTTGATAGTAATAGTGCTTATGATTATGTAGTTAATAAGGTTGCTGATCAAACTGAAGTATTGCTTCATGCACAATGTAAAGATTTACCACCACATATTGCATCATTTTATGCTAAAGTAAATGATGTTTATCCACGTATTTGTGTTTTACTTAAATTATATAAGAATATTATGTCCGTTTTAACTGAATTACAAAATATTATTGACTTTGACGATGATTTTCAAGAAAATGCTGTTGATACCCGAAAATTTATAGCTGCAGCAGCTAAAGTACTTAATCAATTATTCTTATCGACAGCGGAGCAATCGGAGAAGTCTGGTATGTATACTATTTTTACATTAACCTTACTCTTATACAGTTTGATCTTTCTAATTAGCCTTTATCTTATTTTTAAATTTTGTATCATAATTCATTTTTTACACAACAAAATGCTCTATATTTCCGAAGGCAATTTGACTCTAGTTTTTTAGTCCAGCAGCAGATCCTTGCTATACATATTTTAATCTGTGCAGGTATGCCAGTTCTATATATTGATAAAAAGACATGTGAGCAAGCATGGAAATATTATTTGTTTATCTTCAATGCAATTAAATCAATATTTAATATTGATACAATAACGTCTGTAAATGATACACGGTGCGAACAGCTGCTAGTCAATCCTGCTTATTGTAAAAGAATATTATCATTTCCTTATACATTTTTCTCAACAACAATGATAGCTGGTTATGATCGTCATGATGTAAGAAAATGTGGACCATTTAAAACACATCCTGAGCGATTACATGAATGCGGGCAAGCGTTGATTGATGACGGTCTATTGTTCAGAGAAAAATTTATTACTACTTGTGAAACAGCATATCATAAAGTTCCACCACCAACAGCCTGTACGCCAAGATCTTATGAAGAAATTGATATGGAACTGAAATTAAATAAATGGGGTATGACGTTACTTGAATATCGAGAAATTCACCAAAAATCATGCTCAGTTAAGAAACTAACAGATCTTGCTTCGAAATTTATGGTAAAACGTTATAAACAATATTATCAAGATTTTCCAAAATACATAAATAACGAATGCGTTCGACAAGATGTTGATACTCTGGTTCAAGATGGTTTACTTGTACAAGAACTTATTAATGGTAGACTAACGTTTTCTTTAAAGGTAACAAACCAAGTTTCTCCTGATAATAATTCCTTACAAACATTCTTTCCCAACAAGAACAATAAACCACCATCGACACAAGAAACAACTGCTACATCAAATAATCAAGTAACGACGTTATCTAATACTGAAACATTATTACAACAACAACCAATGAATTCACTATCAAGACAACCGATAACTGCAACACAAGAATCTAGTTTAAATTACACAACCATACAATCACCTGAATTAAATATTACGACAATACTTTCGAAACGGACAGTAGATCCTTCGTCCCAAAATAGTGTTACAATGTTCCAGTCATCACTTATTCCATCATCAGATTCTCTGTCATTATCTGAATGGAATCAGTCTAGTCAAGTACCGCAAGAACTTGTGACTTGGTCTGATACAACTGTTAAGCAAAACGATAATATCACACAAAGTAAGTTTTTAATTATTGTTGTATTTCGCTTTCACTGATTTTTTCTATATATTCTTATCTATCTAGGTAAATTTGTAGTAGCTGCGCAAACAAATATAAATGCTAATGAAGAACAACATACGTCATTAATCATGATAGCTAATGGACAAAAAGAAAAAGTTGATCACATTCATAATGCTCAATTAAATGATACTGTAAATAGCGTTGATGAATTAGGTAAAACTTATTCGAATAAAACTTACCGAATAGAGAAACTAATGTGGACCTTACATTAGATGAATAAATTGAACAGTGCCTCAACTGTTTTTTACATTTGATGTAAACTCTTTTCTTGTTCTCTGTATCTAGATGCCTATCAGTTAATCGATATTAGCAATAGTCCAACAATAATTGCTAATCAACCAACACTGACTATTAATGTAGAAGAACAACTACTGGAAGTAATGGATGATAATGAACAAGTGTTTGCAAAACAATCTACAGATAAAAGTAACCAAGCACAAAGTGTTATAGACGATAAAAATAACAATCGTAAAAGAAAAGGTAAAACCAGTTGCGTATAATTTTAATTGCTACATACGACGTTTTATTTCTATTTTTCCTGCATTAGTGAGAGAATTATTTTCTTCTTTTGTTTAGAAGAATTGAATGAAGCAGAAATTCATAATGTTTATAACAAAATATTAGTATTACGTTCGCCGATTATATCTACAAGAGATATTGCGAACTCATCAACATGGGCTGATACAAATTTGGGAATCATTGGGAAATTCAAATTTCAAATTCAAACAAATTGGGAAGTTGAATAAGGAAGATTTAATAAATATTTATCTAACGAAATAGTTAAATGATTATAAAAACAAAAACAAGCTGACTCATCAGCACAGACTGACTTTAGTGAATTAGCTGGAACATTATTTGAATCAGCGTTATGATAAAATAATAGTGTTACATCCAGTTGTAACATTTTTATTGACGAACTTGCGTGATACAGGTGAGAATGCTAAACTGACGTATCGACCTCACCTGTATACGAGTTATATATTATGCCTAACTTTAATTATCGACCAGATCTACAAACAGTTCCATTACTCACGCAGTCAGTAAAAGAACATCGCAAACCACCAATAATAGTAAAATAATCATTTATAGTCTACGTATTTTTAAATATACGACAAATATCAAAAGAAAAATATTTATAAGGATAGTAAATGTCTAATAGCTCATGATAATATGAAAACCTTTTTTTAAACTCCAATATATTTCTTCGTCGTTTTTGTCATCGACAATATAAGAAAAACCGTTGAAATATTAAAGCGTTTTTAGACGTTTTAGAAATTGTCGCAGACGTCTTAAACAATGAAATCAGAGATGGGCGAGTACGCAGATTCTCGAGTACGAGTACTGAGCGTCGAGTATGAGTACGAGTACGAGTATTTTCTAAAAAGTACTCGAGTACGAAATTTTTTAAAAGACAAAAATACTGATGAAAAACGGTTTAGCTGCCTAACCATAGCCATTTTCAATATCTTTCAATATAGATCAACAATTTCAATTAACGCAATACGAAATAAGCTCTCATTGAGATACTTCTTCTGACATTAAATTTAACACAAATGACTTAACATACAATAACCTATAATTAAAATAAGAACAAAACAGACTATTTTCTTCTTCTTTTCTTTCTTAGTCATTAGAGTGTTCTCTTTTAGCGTATCTTTACGTTTTTCTTGATGTCGCATGTAGATATGTGTACGTCAGACATGAGGATACATATAGAAAAGAAAAGGTGATCTGTATGCGACATCAAAAAAAAGATCAGGATACGCTAAAAGAGTACGCTTTATTCTTTGATAGTGATATGGAAAACAAGACGGTAATAGCTATAGCTGCATAAGGATTTAAGCCTTTTCCGTATCACTATCAAGAATGACTAAGAAAGAAAAGAAGAAGAAAATAACCTGATTTGTTCTTATTTGAATTATAGGTTATTGTATGTTAAGTCATTTGTCTTAAATTTTTAATGTCTGAAGAAGATACAAAATTCGCAAGGCCAAAAATTCTTTGTACAGCATACTAGTGAAAAAATTTCAAGTACTCGAACATACTCGAGTATATTTTTAAGTACTCGTAAAGATAACTCCCGAGTACGAGTACTGAAGATTTTGTACTCGAGTATACTCGTGTCCATCTCTGTATCTAGTGGCAAAAAGATTTTTGTCCAAAGCCGGTTCCTCGCAAAAAAAAGTTAGCCGGAACGGAAATTCTTCCTCTAACTTGCTTACTATTTGAAAAAAGTCAATTTCCTTCTCGTAGATTTTGATTAAACTCCAACCTAAGAACATATTCGGAATGAGCAGAATTTGGACTATCTACCACTACCAAAAATCTTTCCCATCACGCATTTCACTTAATAAAAATCTTGACGTTTTTCTAAAAAAGTGCTTTTCCCAAAATGTGATCTCAGTACAAAGAGCTGGCGCAAGTTGGCGTAGCTCGCAGAACCTTCATTTTTTCCTTAAAATGAACCTTATGACCCCCTGCACTTATGGTATTAGCCAATAGCCGCCAAAACCGAACTGCAATATATACATGGTGCTTTGAGAAACAGGTCTGGATAAAGCTTGTTAAATTTATAGTCGTGATATAAGATCAACTGAATTTTGAATCAAATGAGCTCACTATAAAGTGAGCTGTTTTTATCTTTGTGTTACCTAGATACTTGTTTCGTAACTGAAAAATAATGGGGAGAGTTTTGAAAATCCCTCGGTTTTTGAGATAAAAACACGCTTTTCGCATCCTAAAATCATCTTTTTTATATAATGTATACATATTCAGAATCAGCGTGAAAAACTACACCTAGCAAACTATAATACTATTTATTTGTGCGAAGGGAAAAATTTTGAACTTTTTCAGCCAAGACTTTGAAGGGTTCTTGCACAGACTTTGTCAAGAAAAGAGAAAAACCTTTGTGCTCATTCATTTCTGCTTCTTCACACGCAGTTTTATTTTTTATTTACGCACATTTTTATTAAACGTGACTGAGGATGCGTTCTAATACCAATCATTCTATCTTTCTCTCTCTAAGAACATTCTAGAAAAGAGAATCATGTGAGATAATAGAAAACCATTTTTGTTGTTTTCTCTCTCTCTCTTCGAAGAGAATAGATTTCAATTTTTTTCTGTTCCCTCTCCTCCACGTTGTCAGAAACATCAAAGATTGCTATTCTACATTCTTTGCTTATATGTTCTTCATGAAGATTCAAATCTTCATGAAGATTTGATTCATGAAATAATTTTTCAAATTGTATGTTGTAGAGGAGACTGCGGGCTACAAAACTGGCAGCAACGGTTTTTCTAAATCATTCGTATATTTGGCGCTGGAATTCGTTTAAGCCGCCGTTGTGGACATGACAGAGTACGAATTCGAAAAGGAAAAAAATCATTGGTATTATATTCTTGTCACCTGTAAGACTTCTACTTAATAGAAATGATACATACAGATCTCTACATGGTAACTGAATATAAGTTTTTCAACTAGGTTTTCAGGAGATCTCTATAAAACCATTTTTGGCATAGTAGATGAATGTCTCTGTTTTTCCTGAAAATTATACAGTAGATGCGCACTAGTAATAGGAACATTCTCTGAAATTTTCTGAGCAAAGAAACTAGTTTTCGAGCCGCTATTCGCTAATTACTTTCTAATTAATTTTAATTAATTATAGTACTAAAGAACAAAGTCTTCTTCATATATTCAATAATAAAGAGCTATCCGCAAAAATAAGAATAGGGAGAAATTCAAGATAAATAAACGGTAGTCATGTCCACTTTACGCTGGTTTTGCCCATCTATACGGACAAACAAACACACACACAAACACTTTCTACTTTTTCGAATGACCAACTTTTTTAGCTAGCAGTAACTCGTGAACCCCTAACTTCACAACTTTTATTCTTCGACCATTTTAGAGGGAGAAAGCGGACTAAATCCGAATTTAACTGTACTGATTGGCAAGCTCCTCAAGCGGTAGAAGCACGAGAACGGTTAGGTGTGCTTCCGACCATCGTCGATAAACGTGGCAAAAAACCATTGTCACAAGATATTATTCACAAACTCCTTAATTATTTAAATTCGGATGATATTAGAAAAGAGACTTCAAAGAGGAAGGATGTAGTGAATGAAAGACGATCCGACAGAACCAAAGTCCCTGTTCCATCTCTTTACTTGATAATGTCTGTAGAATAAACCTATCAGTGCTTTAAACATGAACATCCTGGATTCATTGGCCGATCGAAATTCACTCAAAATAAACCGAAGCGCATCAAATTTCAACCACAACACAATAGCTGTCTGTGTTGTTATCATCAGAATATGAAATCATTAATTGACGTAAGTTAAGTTAGACTCACTAGAACAAGGAAAAGTTTACAAACTACTCGTCTGTTTATTTTCTTTGAAAAATTGAAAAATATTACTAACGGTCGTACTTTTTGGTTAAATTCTTCTACGAAAAGTTAAAGTATTTGACAAAACACGAGTTTTACAACACAGAACACATATTGCTCTACACAAATTTATAGCTTTCATCTGAAAAACATAGTTCACCAGGCGTGCAGGCCGTCTGAGAGTTCAGAGAAAGTGAAAATGTAGCATTTTAAAAATTAAATTTTGAGAAACTTAGAGCTTTTAGAACAAGAGATGAACTGCCTGTGGACAAACATCGAGTTTTTCAGGAGAAGGACTGAAGGTCTTATGAAGATATATCGAGTTTTTCACGACAAACGATGATGCTACTGTGGAGAGACATCGAGTGTTCCAGGAGACAGGATGATGTGCTTAGGGAGGAACATTGAGTTCTTGATGTGAAACGGCGAAGTTGTTGTAGAAAAGCATCGACTTTTTGACGAAAAAAGATCAAGTTTCACAATAAAACACATGAACAAAACATCGAGTTTCACAGGAAACAAAAGGTAGTTGTTGTTGAGGAACATGGGGTTTCACAGCAGAACAGATAAAGTTCCCATGAACAATGCCAAAAGTACGACCGTTAGTAATATTTTTCAATTTTTCAAAGAAAATAAACAGACGAGTAGTTTGTAAACTTTTCCTTGTTCTAGTGAGTCTAACTTAACTTACG